CATAATTTTGAAATATATTTCTGTATGTCTTGTGACTATACTGTTTCCACATCATCTGAGAGAGGAACAGGAAAAAATGAACAACCCAGTTTTTATAGGTTTACTGTTAATATAGGAAATAAAATGAATGAAATATAACCTTTGGAACAAAACAATCTTTTGAATTCAAAAAATATTTTCTGATCACCAAGCCTGTGAAAATTCATCATTGTTGTATGGGAAAAGAAGGATGCATTATATGACTTAAGGTTTATTGCAGTTTTTTGAGATGGCAGAGTATAGAAAATTCCATAATATTTTTTGTTTTTTTAATGGGAGGCAGCTGGGCAAAACAAGTCCTCCCTCAGAGGTATAGGTACCATAAACTTAGATGAAACTATGTTTACTAAATAAATAAAGAACAGTTAATAGAAAATAGTAACCTTGACAAAGCTTCTAGAGAATGCCGGCTTTTCCATATACAAGTGACAGATTTGAATAGAATATCAATGCATGGAATTATTACTCCTTGCATGTTTCTTAAATGGCATGATAAGAATATAATTTGTAGTTGACACACATCTGAGCTGTATGTAGTTTGAAAATTGGACAACTACTCCTCAGAAAATATTCAGAGCAAGCAAGAAAATGTGGAGTCCAAACACTTTTATTTAAGGTGAAAGATATTATCCTATATATGTGTAGGGACATTAGTAAAAACATCTTGGATAAAAATATCCCCTTTTGCTCAATATTTGTCCCTGTCCCTGTGTCATCTTTTCTACCCTCAACAATGCTCCTACTCTCTGTCTAGTAAGAGGCATAAAAAAACATTAGTTTCATGACATGTGGGGCAACTAGATATAGGAAGCATAGATAATGGGTGTCAGATTTTATGATGATATTTTGGTCCTCACACCAGGCTATTTTCCAGGGAATCTTGTGACCAGATAGCAGGAGTCATGGGATTCAGGGACACAGGGTGAAGAAATCAAGGTGGGTATGTTATATCACTGTTTCATTTGGGCTTGTGGAGGATAGAACAGCTTGGGACAACCTGTTTTCTTTTGCACAGAGAATGGTAAATTCTGCATAGAAATAAAGTGAGTGTAGAGTTTCTCCCAAACACTGAAGTCTGGTATAGCTGATTTAGAGAGTTTGGGTAGATTAAGAGAGAGTCCTTAACAACGCTTCTCCTTGTGTCGTCTGCAGGACAATACACAGGTGCAGAAGGAGCCACCTGACTCTCTGTGTTCGATCCTCATCTCTCCTCCACCTTTTCTTCATTACTTTTCTTTCAGCTTTTCTCTGTTACCTCCAACACCAGCACATCGTCTATTTAATATTTTGGGCGAAGGGCCATTGTAGCCATTCTAAAGTTGGCCAAACCTGTGTGAAGAGTTGAGGTCACTGTGGTAGTTATTATATCATTATAGATGATGTGCTATATTACTGGTGCTGTTTTGTCTCTGGACTATTGTAGCCCATTTTTTGCGTCTGATTCCTTTGAGAACCTGATGAAAAGTGTTGAAACTACTCTGGAAAAAAAATGAATGTAGAGTCATACACATAGAAATCCCCCAAAATGTGCATCAATACCAGGAAGCCATGAAATATGTCAAGGCTCTCTTTGTATCTCTTACAGGCCAAAGATTCATGTAAGACAAAAAGAAATTCCTAAAAAAATCCTTTTATGATACTAACAATTCCAGTGTGTTTCATGGCAGTGTCTTGCTGTGCAGAGTGCACCATGTATGACTCCAGGTTGTGGAGCTGATTCACTAAGTTATTT